AACGACTGGTACGAGCAGGTCATGATTTTCTTTTTCTATGAAACTTAAATATGTTGGTTTTTGGTCGATATAATGAGACACGTATTTTTTTTTTGGCGAAAAAAATTTTTTTTGTTGATTTTTGTATATTTATTTTTTGCGGTAAAAACCGAAAAAGCCTAGTGAAATTAAATGGAAACTGCCAGAGCCACAGGGGGATTCACCGCTTTGAATTGAAGACGTCAAACTTACCCTTGGTCTAAGAGGTTTTTAATCTTCTAAAATTAACCTTCCTACGCTGGAAATAGCTCAACAAAACTTTGAAAAATGAAACACATCGTTGCCTAAAATGGAGAACCGCGTGGGTAACAGAAATAGATTCACTCAAAAAAAAAAAAACTATCAACTCACCCTGAGTTTTCGTACGACACAATCAATGGTTTATCCGGCACTGTGCCATTAAACCAGGAGAATTACTACACATCTTTGGAATTCTATCCAAATTCTAAGCCAAAGCTTACTTCCAACCAAACGGCTTCAGCGATCAAACGGAAAAGAAAACGTAAACCTACCTAAGTACGTAGAAGATTATTTAAACAAAAACTCAACAGTGTTGCCTATTTTGAGAAAACTAAAAAAAATGCATCGAAAACTCACAAAAATAAAACTAGACACTGTCAATATTCTAAACGACGCGCCATCCGTGTCGTTAAAAGAAACATCAATTAAACTAATTAAATTCTTTTGGAAAGAGGCATTTAAACAACTAAACAAATATACTTGTTAAAAATATACTTAACAATTAGTCAATCTAAAAATAAACCACTTAACAGTTTACATCTATACCGTTCTAGATGTACAAAAACTAATAAAATAAAATCAATGGGTAACTGTCAAAATGACGGTTACAGCACAAAAAAACGAGATACGCCTACGCCCTACGGCGATATACCTTGTCCAAAATTATCTGCTTACCATTGCTAACTCCGTTATTATTGGAGATAAAAGTCGCAAATTGGTGGCATTATTTCTTCTGATTAAAATGGTGAAAATAGAAAAACAAATGAACGTCGGGTTTCTAAAATATTTACAAAAATAACGGTAAGTATATTTTTACATATTTTAAAAGACAATTTAATTTGGAAACAAAAATTATTATTGGGCCATTTCAAATCTCAAACTGGTGTTATAAAAAAAGTTTTAGGTAATTTATTATAAATTATTTTGGCCTAAAAATTGTCAAAAATATTCCTTTTAATAAAAAAACGCAAAAAATATTTTATAAAAAAGGAACAAGAGAAATATTGCTTTGTAGATCCGTATGGGGCATATCATTAGTCCAAGAATACCTTGCATATAGGGGGCGGCTAAACGGACCTCTAAACATCCCTATACTGCCCTACTATGGAGAAAGGCAGTAACTGCTAAATAAGAAATTTGTGGAAAATTAGCATAAACTACATTTTTATAAAAAGTAGGTATTTAATTGATTTTTCTAACATGAGATATTTGAATGCATTTCTGTGTTGACTTCGGTTACAAAATGTCTATAGCTTTACCATAGCACAAGAAAACGCATTTTGCATTTTTTTGCAGTTAATGCCTTTCTACATAGTAGGGCAGTATACAGGATGTTATGTAGTTAGTTGTCATCCATTGGGTGGATAATAGTTCACGTCAAAGTAAGCAAGTTCTTTCTCTATAACTTTTGCATTACTGCTGCTGTTTTAGAATTAAAAAGATCATGAAAATTAACGGCGTTTGTTTGACACGACACTGGATTCGTTTAAACCATGACTTACCTAACGTTTAAGCCGTTGGGGCAACGGACTAAGTAGAGTAGGTCAGTTAAACACAGTTAAACAACTGACCGACTCACTTGTCGGTACTGCTGTGATTTTAACGGCCCGACTTTACTTCGAACGTTAACAGCTCCTGCTCGTCAGTGAGATCAGTGGCTGCCCCTAAACTGCCTTATTTTGTTAATTTTCATGATTTTTTATTCAAAAACAGTAGCACTAATTTAAAAGTGAGGAAATACTTGCTTACTTTGACGTGTACTATCATTCCCCCAAGGGATGACAACTTATTATATTACTCCTTATTAATAAAGGCCGTTGCTAGTCGTCCGTATAATCGGACGAATAAAATATATTAATCGTCCGATTGCTAGTCGTCCGTATAATCGGACGAATAAAATATATTAATCGTCCGATTATCGGATGAATAAAATATATTAATCGTCCGGTAATAACATAAATAAATAATAAAAAGATTATCGGACTCAAACTCAACAACACAACCCAACCGACCCCGCCCCATTGCCCCCCCCCCCGCCCCATTGAACAAAAAACCCAACTAAAATGGGCAAATTTATGTTACGATAAAAATAAAACACTTTTTAACAAAGCAACAACAAATTTATGAAATAAAAAAAGTTCGACAACTTCTAGTAGATTTTATGTTACGATAAAACTAAAACAAACCAACCAACCCAACCCAACCGAACACTGTTTAACAAAGAAACAACAAATTTATGAAATAAAAAAATAAAAAAAATTCGACAGCTTCTTAGTATCGAACCCGGGACCTCTCGCATGACAAGCGAACGCAAAATCAAAATCAAAAAAATCAAAATCAATATATTTCTAAATTAAAATAATTACAAGTCATAAAAAGGGTATATAATAAAAGGCCGCAATGTGGTGATGTGGTTGGCTGTAAAGAGGCACGTGGAAGTGTGGTTCCAACTCTTGAGCCTCCCTGCGGTGAAGATGCGTGGTACGGGTGGTAGCAGACAAGCGAACGCCCTACCATATAAGCTATCTAGCTTGTTGTCAAATATTAAACGGTCGGTGAACAAAAGCGGATTATAATTATGACGTAACTAACGTTTTGTTATTACCGGAATATTTATATATTTTATTCATCCGATGATCGGACGATTAATATATTTTATTCATCCGATGATCGGACGATTAATATATTTTATTCATCCGATGATCGGACGATTAGACAAGTCGATTAATAAAATGGGTTTTAAAATTGGCCGTTGCTAGTCGTCCGTATAATCGGACGAATAAAATATATTAATCGTCCGTATAATCGGACGAATAAAATATATTAATCGTCCGATTGCTAGTCGTCCGTATAATCGGACGAATAAAATATATTAATCGTCCGATTATCGGATGAATAAAATATATTAATCGTCCGGTAATAACATAAATAAATAATAAAAAGATTATCGGACTCAAACTCAACAACACAACCCAACCGAACCCGCCCCATTGTTCAGCATGGAGGTGCCTGGCACTAACTGAGCAGGTGACTAGCTCGCACCGTTTCGCTCTGTATAGGGCGTCACGGCGCGAACTGGCAGGTGTTATGCCGTGTTTAGAGATATTTATTATGTTGACTTTTAAATCTTTCGAACCAATTGGCCATTCCCTTCGAACTGGCGATTAAGGGGCAGTATGGTTTGTGTTTCCTGGTTGAGGTAATTGACGGCTTAGGTCTGTGTTTCAGTTGCTTATATTTATGTGTGCAAGTTTTTGAAGGGAAAAATAGAAAAAAAACCCTTTTAGAAGAAATTGTAAGCGTTTGTGGGGTCAAGTTGCTGACAGTTTGATCAGCAATTAAGAGTAATTATGTTCTAGTAGTTTTTTATTGTGCTACAACGCTGACGCTGGGCCTGAAAGAATGCCAGGGCGGGGCGCTCGCAAGACACCGCGGCCAGCTGGGCCTGTGCCATGCATCAGCCGCCGCATGGTGTTTAGGAGCTCAGCGCACCGGCATCCGTTCAAGCCTGTGTTATTAATTGTTCCATTCTGGCTCTCGAATTATGTCAGAAAGCCAAAATAAAACAGTTAGGTGTTAATTATATTAATTATTCTTATTATGATTAATATATTTTATTTATGTTTTCAAAAATAAATATTGTTATATTTATTTTTGTTTTTATTTAATTTTTAGTATTTTCTTTTTTTATTATTTATTATTTTTTTTTTGTTTTTATTATTTTATAAATTTTTATTATTATGCAGTAGTGTCCAAATGTTTGATGATTATATTTAATTTTTGGGTGGAATCGGCCTGAGTCCGTCCCTGCATCTCTGTGGAGTCCGGGCCTGTGCCTTGTATTCGGACAACACAGGAGAGTCCGCGAACGCCATCTACTGACGAACACCGCAATGAATAATGGTTAGGAAAAGTAGCGGTGAGAGATATCTCGTGCACGCACCGTGGTGTGTAGGTAAAATTTATTTAAACATTTTTCTAATTTTTATGATATTTTTGGTGAAAATTTTTTTTACGTATGTATTAGATGATTATAAGTATTTTTTGGTAAATTTGTGACTTTGAATTTTGACTTTTTATTTTTGTGTACTGTGCGCGGTATTGTTTTGGTGCCGGCGCCAGCAAGTCTGGAATGCGGCGCTTCAATAAGGTTGATATTCGCTTGCTACACGCGTAGTATTTTAAATTTATGAATGAATTCAATGAGATTGTTGACCTTTTAAAGAATTTATGCTATGAATATATCGGCTTTAAGAGCTTGTTATTATTTTGTAAGTTACGTATTTTAGTGTTTGTGTAGAAACAAGCGAACGCCCTACCATATAAGCTATCTAGCTTGTTGTCAAATATTAAACGGTCGGTGAAGAAAAGCGGATTATAATTATGACGTAACTAACGTTATGTTATTACCGGACGATTAATATATTTTATTCATCCGATGATCGGACGATTAATATATTTTATTCATCCGATGATCGGACGATTAATATATTTTATTCATCCGATGATCGGACGATTAGACAAGTCGTTTAAAATTATTAATAGAAGATTAATGACATTCAGAAGAAGTTCTGCTAAGGTTCTTTAGTAAAACTTAATAACTTTATAAAAGTAAGTGATAAGTACAAAATAGTTCAGATTTAAATTTAACCCGTAAAGATTTTTAAATATTTAAAGTTTTTTTTAAAAGAGTATTTTATTGCAGCCAAAGTTGCACTTACTTTTCCCTTTTGTATTCCATACAAAATGTCCTTATCACAAAAATTATGTTCATCGTCAATGTTTGTTTTAGGAGATCCTTCTTTAATCCAATTGACCATAGCATTTGGTAAAAATTCATTTTTCTCATTATTTTTAAGCCATACTACCTTCTGTTTGATTAGAACTTCCTATAAAGAAATATATGTATAATGTATATTAAATTATACAGGGCTTTCAATTAAAAACTAGCAATTCTTAATAACTTTTGAGTTATAGTAAATATAACCTTGAGTAAAAATATGTCAATTTAGATATAGAGGGAAAGTAAAGGGTCTACCAATAAGAGTGATAGAACTTTAAATTGTCATAAAATGTAAACAAGTAAATATTTTTCCATGGTTTATGTTTTATTTTGTATAAAAATTCATGACATTATATTTTACTTAAGATGTCAGTGAGATGGCCGCCTCGGCTGCGGTTCAAAGAGTCTCAAACTTCTATCACTTTTTCCAACAAGTTCGGCCGTATGTTATGAATAACTCGGGTAATGTTGGCTTTTAAGTCGTTTTTGATACAGCTTTATTAGCTTACACATGGACTTAACATATCCCCAAAGAAAAAAGTCAAGCGGCGTAATCTCGTAAGCCAAAAATGTGCCTTATACAATTGGCTCACCAAACTCAGCATTTTGTTCAAACTGCAATAGCGCCCAATCAGTGAACGTTCTTTGCAAACGATGGTCGGTAGGATTAAGTTCTTGGGTGAAAACAATTTTATAAGGATGTACGCCCAAATCTTTTTTCAAAATGCGCTACCTAGACATCGGTACTGAGCACAAATTAAGGTTAATGGGCGTTATGACTTTTAAACTATTGAGCAGATGACCTTTCTTCATCATTCTTATTGGTAGACACTTTATAAATCCATTGTCACACAAATTTTATGTTGCACCCTCCCATCTCCAGCTACCATTACTAAACCTAAATAGCACCCTATTCGACACATCATTTTAAATGAAATTCAATTTCTGATTCAACGAAGTTACAAAAATTAAAATCCGATCACGGATTTGCAAGTTAGAGCCAAAAAAGGTATATATTATATTAATAAAATTATATTAAAAAACTATTTTATTTGCTTCGTTTTAATTTATCTTTAGCATAGGTGTTTTAGTTAAAATATTTGTATTGATATATCAAACTACCTTATTATTAGAAAAATGGTGAATTCTTCAACAAAAAGTTCTGAATTAATTTTTATTTACGGATGAATCAGAAATTCTTTCCTTTAAAATTATGTGTCGCAAGTTATATATTATACTAGGTAGTCGTTACGCGCCCCCTAGATACCTTCCAAATTTATAAATAAAATACATGTACACAGTAAGAAATTATGGTAAAATTACGGATAAAAATATGTAATATTTACATAAAAATATGGTGTTCCAAATAAACGCATACATTATTACGGTTATTGAGTGATTTTACCATTACGCTGGAAACTGTGGAAAGTTGTGTGTATTCTCTCGGCGTTTATTTTTAAAGTAAATATTTATTAATTTGCTATTACCCTAGTTTTGGTTTGATTCTTTAATATTTTATTAAAAATTCAGCAATTCAAAAATACAGATTTTTTACCTCTATTCTGTAAACTAAACAAGTGCGTCCGGGTAATATTTTTGGCTATAATTTATAGAATAAAGTTTAAGAACTATATAAAAATTACTCGTTAATATCTCTGGCGAAAATAAAGCGTGCACGAAAAGTGTGCCATAAGTGTGTATTTAGAGTGCAAGTCTTTATAACAATGCGCACAGACGCTATTTTGTGGTAATGTCACACTTTATGCACATTGACATCACGCTTTTTATTTGTCACTTGTCATGCTTATATTAAATTATTTTTTTGCACATTGTTTGCACAGTTTTAGTACATTGTTTAAAGACAATTTTGCAAAGCTTCAGTCTATCTTACGCATGTCACATTTTATACACACTGTTAGGACGCTTTATTATTTCTCATTTATCACGCTTATATTACACCTTTTTATAGCACATTGTTTGTACAGTTTTAGCAATCACTCAACTGTTTAAGCACATTTTAGATATATCTCGCTTGTGTTGTGGTAAAAAATTTATTTAAAAGATGAGGTAGATTACATCTTATGTATCGCTTCTCGGCAATCCCCGTCGTGGAGTTGACAGTTTTTCTTAATAAAATACATGACAGGAATGTAAAACCTACATTGTGGGTATTTTTTTTTAAATTTTTTGAAAAGAACCTTTCATTAGGTTAGTGTTAATATTATTATTAGGATTTTTATTTATTGATTAAATAAATTTAAAAGACTTTAGAGGTCACCAAAAACAACAGAAGGCAAGAAACAGTGTGCAAACAATGTGAAATATCAAAAGGAGTTCCCTTTAGAACATTGTCCAGTGATTATTCACACTTGTAAATTTTTGGTTTTGCACATTGTTTCATGTTTCATTTCCCACCCTCTGCACATTGTTCTCAAATAATTTTGCACACTTTTTGCAAATTTAATTTTCGCCAGGGATGCGTATTGCGTATGCCGTATTTTTTTGTTTAAAGGGATTTTACATGACAGAGATAGGTTACAAATATTAGTTGGAAATGTACGTCTGTGATGGCACAGCTAAACAATAATTAGACGAGATAATATCGGCACTATTGAGCGACCATTTTCAAGCAAACAAATTTCCGCCCTTTATATATAGTGATCACTGGCCCTGGCCCCAGAAGGAAATACCTGGAGCACATCCTAGTCTACTGGGAGGTCCGCACAAATACCAGGTGCAACTAACCAACAGGCAGGAAGCAGAGCAAAAACCCAAGTACGCTCCAGCACCGCCTCCAACCACTAATTACCGCAGCATCATGCATCCACCCTCTCAGCAAGCACCTCCAGCATCTACTTAGGTTACGTATGCTGCCGGTTGTAATTTTTTAACTAACACAACTGGTATTTTTTAAACAACAAATCAATCTCGGCCCGATGATGCAAGCTCTCTTTTTCAAAATAAATCTAAAAAAATTTACAACCTTCACTGCAATTTAAACGATAAATATCTATATAATTGGCTAAGATTTGAAATAAAAAACGAAATCATAGATATAACTACTGGACTGATACCCTGAGTAAACTCACCCCGCAGATAGCCTGTGGTATCTCCTCAAAAGGATCAAAAAACCAAAAACGACCATGCCCACACTAAAAAACAACAATAGCGAGTACATCACATACCTAGAAAAAGCCACTGCGCTTGCAGAACATTTTGCCAACATCCACAAGACATGTAACTGAGGAACAAAAACAAATCCAAAACGCTGGTAGATTCATTTTTGACAAAACACCCCAACCGCTAACTCCTGACGAAATGAAGCAATACATTACCACTTCCCACACTTGTCTTCAACTAATTTTGGGTTTATTGAAAATGACACCAAAAAATGTAAATGAAATATTTTAATAGACGAAAAGTCAAGCACAAATTAATATTCAACTAAATTGTAGCTGATTTTATCTACAAATGTTTTGAAGAAAACTCAGAAACAGCTTTTTTCAGTCTTTTCGGGTAATCAGGGTCATTTAAAATATTTATTTTGTATCTATCCCAATACTTAATAAACTCTATGTGTATTGACTCTCCTGCCTGTTCAGACCAAAGTCCAAGGCCACAGTTTTGAAGAAATTTAATAGCATCTGGTAGATGGTTCGACAGAACATGCATTTTTAATGTTTCAGATAGACCAGTAACTTTAAAACACTTTGAGAGCATGTCGATGTCCTGCTCATATCCTGGTTTCACTTTTCCTGTTGTAAAACATTTGTCAACTACCTTGTTCATAGCTTTTAAAACAAATATAAAAGGAGTTATACCCAACATTTCCACTTATTTCTTATTTCTTGATCACCCTCTTTTAGAAGTTTTCTGCACGCATTTCCTTCAAACGTTTCCCTGTGATAGTTTTTAGTAACTAAGTTTTTTAGGCCACATTAAAGCTTTGTCGCGTCCGAAAAGCGGCACAAGACCACTCCAAAAGAAATGATTAACGAATCCTTGCAGTAGATGCAATTCAGGAATGACGCATTTTTCGATAACCAATGTACTACATACTATCTTCTTCAAATAATGGACGATTTACGGTACTGCCACATTCTTTGGCCACTTTTTCAAACATTTCTTTTCATTAGAATTTTCATTTGGTTCTTCTAAATCTGTATTATTCTTGGCTCCTCGTAATTCTTTTAATGTTACAAAACAGTAAGGACAAGGGTATGTAGAAGTGGCAGTTTGCTGACCGTTAACAAGAAGTAAAAGTTTAAAATCAGAAACAAACTTGAAGGAAATGTTGTTTATATTTGTTAAGTTGAATAATAACTCAATGTTTTCATAGGTTTCCTTATAAGGAAATTATAATTTCAGGAACAATGCATAGCATAATAAGCCGATGCACGCCAGTTAATTTACCCTTTTACCAGCAGATCCTCCTTTTAAATAAACACTTCCTCCCGTGTCCTGGAAACAATGTTTATCATCTTAGACTTCTGTCTTATCCGCGTCTAGACCTCGATCCAAATCAGGTAAATACTTTTCCGGAAGAACCGTCATACATATTTAAAAAAAAAACCCTGTCCTTCATCTGCCATTACTTTTATGCTAGGTATACCTATTTGATTTCTTTCTTTTAAAATTTCTTTCAATAACGTTTCTGCATCGGCCCAGAGAGTAGGTCTCTTTTCCTTTTTTCCTTCCACATCAAACTCAAACACATCATCACCATAAAAGAGTGCTAAACGTTTAGAATTTTCGGTAAGGTGAGTCATGTAGTAGGCAGGAACAGCATTTTTTCCAGCTTCACATCTTAAAAAATTAGTCAGTTTCTTCATTGTGCGACGAAACACCTGAACTGACTTGTCTGTGTAAAACAACTCTCATATTTGAGCCGCCAGTAGTCAAATTTAAATCAATATTTTTACAAGTTTTGCCTAATTCTATTTCATTTAAACTTTTGTTGGCAAAAGTTTTGAGAGTACGACTGATTACTTGCTCTTGCTGTTTTGGAAGAGATTGTACAACTCTAACAACGTTAGACCGTGCTGCAGTTAATGTACAAGAATGCCTTTTGCCCCTGCCAATTTCTTGAAAACAAGTTTTATAAAG